TTTATTAAGTCGTGTACAACATTTTGGACCAAAAGGACTTTTTGTCTTTTACCAAAAGGTTAAAGTTTATATTTTATAAAAGAGTTTATAAAATTACCAAGTTTGGCTTCTTTAATACTCTGAAAACCATAAGCATGCATGCTTGAATGCTAGTGATGGGTTTTTGATTATTTAAAGGGAAAGGAACCATGTTTTAAAGGTATGGGAGACAAGTAGGCTTTATGAGACATTATTGTCTTAAAGTGTTAAGGACTTATGGTCCATAAAATCACTTTATGCATATAAAAGATGAGGCTTGCACTCACTCTTTCTTCTTGATGCAAATGGCCGAAACTTGTTCTTTTTCTCTCATTCTCTCTAATTTTTCTTTGAAGACTTCGAGATTACTTGCTTTTACATGCCCTCTTTAAGTTCATATTGGTTATGAACTTAAAGCTTAAGGGTTTAAGAGTTTTTTGACTAGCATCTACATCAAGTTGAGTCATTGTTGGTGTTTCAAAGGTTCCATCTTCTTCATCAACTTCCAAGCCTCCCAAGAGGATCCAAAGAACAACAAAGGTTGTTATTTTTTCATCCTTTTTATGGTTGGTATTTTATCTTTCAACAACTTGCAAGGAGATCTTTGGTGGGTATAAAATGTTTTGTTATGTTCAAATTTTTTCAGTCTTCCGTTGCCATATTTTTAAAGTTTATGAGACTATTTTTGAACTAAAACCCAACAGTCAAGTCATTATCCCTATCTTTAGGACCATACAAAACAAATAAGAAATCACAAGAAAACTAATGCTTGTATAAAACTTCATTTAAAATTCCATACGTTTTTCATTTTATTAATCATAATATAAATTTATTTTTATTGCCGCTTTTATGTAATCTTGCTTATGGATTCATCTATTGATTATGAAGTCTTGTAAACTTGTCATTTTTTACTTATTGATAAAACATGCAAACAAACGCTTAATTAAACACCCAAAAAGGAACCCATAATGAAATCTCATGTAAATTAATCAAACTAAAACACATTGTTCACTCCCTGATGGAACTTAAGAGTACATTAAATAATTTTCAAATAAAAAGGTTTAAGGTTACTATAAAAGAACTCTAATAAAAAAATCACTACTAAAAACTTACATGAAAACTTGAGTTTTGAAGGATAAATAATGAGAAAATCACCGACCCTCGTGTCTGTAAAAATATCAACTTCTAATTCAGGTAACCCCTAATTTTGATAAGTTATGTGTAAAGGATGGGAAGAATCGGTGAGGGGTTCTTGATTTTAAATAATTAACTTAAAAAGACACATTGTTATGTCATTCTTAAAGCACTTTAGGGACACTTTTAAAAGTCTTCTAGCTCCCATTTGCAAAAACAACTCTCTCTTGCCAAAGGACTTCAAGATTCCATGTGTTGTGATGGCATTGACACTTAAACCATTAAGACCAAAACCATAAGTACAAAATCAAGTTTGGGATTATAAAGTGATTAAGACATGGAACAATTTTCCAAACTTGGCTAAATCTTCATCTTATTGTATTTGGAAAAAGAATAAAACTAGTCTAAACTAATTTATTACAAACAAATTAAATAAATGAAAAATATTTATTTATCTGTTACATCTTATGAAGAAATAAATAAAAACCAACACAACACAAAAGTCCTAATGGCTAGGTTTGTTTATACACAACTTCATCATATGAAATAAACAAATAAGCACTTTGTTTTTCAAAGGCAACTTTATACAACTAAAACACATGAAATTTTGTTCGTGTAAAAATGACAATTATAAAATAACAAGTAATCATAGAAAATATATTTGGTGATTTTTAGCCAAAAGAAATACCAAACATATTTTTCAAAACATAATAATAAATCTTTCTAAGATGTAAAAGAGGCTCAGATACCACTGATGAGTTTCGATAAGCTAAAAGCGATTTTCTTTTTAAATAAAACTCTCTTATGAACGGAAAATGGATGTGATTTTAAAATAACTATTATTTAAAGATTATTTAAAAAACCACCAAGGATTCATTTACATGATATGAAAGATTATAAACAACCATATGATATTTAGAAGACAACCTTTAAAGACTTTGATCCCACTTGGTAATTACGGAGTTGATGAAGATGGAAAAAACTCAAAGTAGAGTTTATGTATAATGTATCCACCAACAAGTTTATGTCACCAAGAAATCTAATTCTCTCTTGTAAAATACTTCTTAAGCCTTTAAGAACTTTAACGTCCGTGTTTCTCACTAGGCATTAATTAAATATATGGTCGATGATGGTCGATAGTTGTAATAATTTGATGAATAAATAAAAGGAAATTGTTTGAATGTATGTTATTTATGTGCTTATATTATGTGTATATAATAGTAGGTGAAAACTTAATAAATATGGCTAAAACAAATATTAATTAAGATAAATAACATTGATAAACGACGAAGTAGTTGTGATGAGGATTTCGGGGATATAAAGAATGCTTAAATCTGACTTCGTATGAATAAGTAAAGATCGTTTGAAGTTTTGCGTTCAAACCGATACGGATGAGTGCGTGGTAAATAACGAATTTTAGCTAGGTTGCTTATTAGCCTAAGAAATGTAAATGAAAGTCATAGTAATCGTAAAATCGAGAACAAACATAAAGAGAGTGCCCAAATCTAACTTCATATGAGGAAGTTATGATTTTTCGAAGTTTCAACGCAGTAGTGCGGACAAAGAAATTGAATTTTAGATCGGTTGATATTTAGTTGAAACAACCTAAACAAGAGTTGAAGATATCGTAAATATGAGTCTGTCGATGTAGATGTCATATGAAAAAATATGAGTTTTAAACAAAGATTAACAATCTAAGGATTCTAAAATAATTAATAAAAAATAAAATGGGAAATAGATGACAGGTCTAAATGAAAGTTGTAGATCTGTTCGATAGCTACGCGTTGGTATAAAGAACGTAAAAAATGGTGTACATATGAAGAAGTTACGAATTTTTGAAGTCTTGCAAGATGCACCACACGCAAAAAGGCGTGTCTTGCGCTTCTAGAAGCTGCCAAGTAGCACCACCCAAATCAGGACATCTGTGAACAAGCTAAAAGGAGCATCTTGTTCGAAGTGCATAGCGTGCACCTTCAGATTGCACGGCGATCCTATGCAAAATTTTGCTTATAAATAGCCTTTTTCTGGTAATTCATTCCCCACACTTATCCTATCATTCTCTCTCGATTTTCTTCTCCCTAAGCCTGATAAATTAGTGTTTAGGGTATTTTGTCGAAGCCATGAGGTCCCAGAGAGCCAGGTAATTAGGAGCTATCGAGTCGGAGTTCTACCAGTGCACTTTCCAGACTTTTGTCAGGAAAATTTATGTAAGTTAAGCTACACTTATATTGCTTTCACTGTAACTTATATATATATATATATATATATATATATATATATATATATATATATATATATATAATCGTTGTTATGAATTTATAAATAAAATTTATCAGTAATTCCAAGTCGTTATGTTGATTGATCTATTAGGGTGATGTCTAGTAAAATTTTAATGAGGTGTTTAAAGTATGATCTCCAAACAGTATACCCTATATACCAAATGTACCTACCTCTGATACGATCTTACATGTTTCTCCTTAAGTGATAGATATTGATGTAGATGTTGAAGAGTCTAAACTATTAATAGCCACGATGAATATTAAATTAAGACTTAGTGAAAATTAAACCTAGGTCACATCAAAGGAAAGACTAAGTGTTGAAGCGAAGCGCTTCCCAATTTTCCAGTCATCCACTTTAGCAAGTGAGTGCATAGTTACTTTCATCTTACACATAAATATAAAGTATCTAGATGATTAAATGTTATGTGTGCCTATTATCTGTATTACTTGATATCTTTGTTAAAAGAATTATATGATTTTTTTTACTTGATTTAATCATATATGTATTTTTCATATATTTATATAAAATATATTAGGTGGTGATGGATAATGAAAATGATGAGATGATAATAAGAGGACTTGACTATTGATGAAGCAGTCATCTAGCAAAGTATAAATGACGACTGCAAACTATTCTAGACAGTCCAGTAGAAACGCTAGCAGACTCGCAACCTGCAAGTGTTAATGAACTATTTGTTCATTGGATGTACTCTATCCCCCTTGGTTTCCTTATTGACATATATTGCTAAAGGAATCCCCCAAGCAGTATTGTCTACCCGTTGTTGATGATAATCCTTAGGATAGGCCCCTTGAGATCAGTATTTTAGGATCAATATGTGAGAACAAAAGGAATGGGTAATCAGGAGAATTATTTGATGTGAATTATATAATTAAAGAACTTAATTATTGTAGGGTGAAAACCCTATGTGCTCACCAGGACCCTAAGCCTGACCCATTCAGTTTCTTTGTATCATAGGTAGTGGTACGAAGGCACTTGGATGATAAGCGATTTCTGGAGTTTGTAGTCCATTAGTATAATAAGATGTTGTAAGGCCTATTAAGACTTATTTATGCTTATGTATATATATTGACGATGACATTCCATGATTTTAAATATATATGAAATACATTTCCTTGGAAATGCTTTGATAATAATATCATCATGTTTTGGGAACAAATTTCACATAAATTTTTATACTCTGAAATAAATAAAGCATAAATAAAAGTTTTAAATTGGCCGTGAAATGGGGATTTCACAATAAATTATCCCAAATAAGTCTTAAAGGAGAAGCACTTCATAAGTACCACTGATCTACTTTAGAGATAAAGAGAGGATATAGAATAAATGCCATCGACATTGAGAGAAAGAGATGCAAAGACTAGCTTCAAAATAAAGGAATCCCTAAAAGTATGTGTTTTTAAACCTTATGCAGCTAAAAGTAACATCCTTCCCCATTATGCGAGCATCTTCACCTAAATATGTTTTCATTCTTGGCATATATTTTAGCATGCAATAACCTCAGTTTGATACCACTTATTTGAACAAATGATCAAGTGTATGCTAGTTTTGGATGCTTAAATGAGTGTTCTATCTACCAAATGGATTCTAGCCTAACGTTATCAGGTGTTTCCCTCTCTAATGCAGGTTGAGGGTTCAAGTCTCATCTAGGACATAATGGATTAAGGAGTAGTATATAAGTAATTTTGATTTTCGATAAAAAAAAAATCAATTGGCTATCTATATTTATGGTGCTTTCGAATAACATAAGAAACATGGGTGAAAGAGCTTTACCAAAAATGATTTTCTTGATAAATGAAAGATAATTCAAGTGGAAAGAAATTTATAAGGGGTTATTGAGTTTGTTTTGTGATGTCTGATAGTCTAATACAACTACAATATAAAGAACGAAATTAATCATTATACATACTAGACATATTTCATAAATTAAGGAATATATTAGGCATGTAGCCAAAGAGATGGACAAAAAAAGCCTTGGGAGTTGTCAAAGTAGGTTAAGTTAACACGATAAAAACCTATTTCAACGAAAAGAAAAGCACAACATTAATCCTTAAAAGATCAAGACATGAAGAATTCTTACTTACATCTTCTACTATTGGGGACGAAAATTCTTAAGATTTTTCTGGCACATGAATGTATATAGACGTTAAGTTTAACTCCTCAACAACCTTGTTATCATCCTTGTCGAACTTCAAAAAAAATGATAGTTTTCAATCCATGATCTACCATATATTGCTTCACTATAAAGTTGTTATTGTATAAATAACTCACCATTTTGTTAGTCACATCCTTTTCAGTTGTCCCATTAGGTGCCATAATAGCCAAAACTTTAAACTTTGCTTTGCACAACATGTTAGGGGGTGCCACCTTTTTTGCTTTCTCTTTAACTACACAAGTTGCATATAAAAAATATTATTGTTGTCCTAGAAGGTATATGATAAGAATTATGATCACATATCACGTATACCTTTGACATTATAAATTGATCTTGGTAACACAATTCCATAGATTGGACGAACACAGTAATCCTTAGGGTTCGTTGTTAGAACCTTTGCACATGAATGTATATAGACGTTAAGTTTAACTCCTCAACAACCTTGTTATCATCCTTGTCGAACTTCAAAAAAAATGATAGTTTTCAATCCATGATCTACCATATATTGCTTCACTATAAAGTTGTTATTGTATAAATAACTCACCATTTTGTTAGTCACATCCTTTTCAGTTGTCCCATTAGGTGCCATAATAGCCAAAACTTTAAACTTTGCTTTGCACAACATGTTAGGGGGTGCCACCTTTTTTGCTTTCTCTTTAACTACACAAGTTGCATATAAAAAATATTATTGTTGTCCTAGAAGGTATATGATAAGAATTATGATCACATATCACATATACCTTTGACATTATAAATTGATCTTGGTAACACAATTCCATAGATTGGACGAACACAGTAATCCTTAGGGTTCGTTGTTAGAACCTAAAACCAAAAAAATAAAATCTTCTAAAACTATATAAAAGGACAATAACTACACCGAATGAGGATATTTATACACAAATAAGGTACCTTAAAGGCAATAAGTTGGTCAGTCTTGTTGGTCAATTGGAAGGAACATAACCTTTTCTTCTTTAGTCCCACTAAAAAATGAATCCATAATTATTATTTCTCATAAAAGCAGATACAACCATATGAAGAAAATAGATAAAAGTATGTGTAACAAAAGGATCTTGCACCAAAAGCTCAATTTGATTGATTTATCTTTAGGACCATACAAAACAAATAAGAATTCAAAAGAAAACTAATGCTTTTATAAATCATCATTTAAAATTCGATACCATTTTCATTTTATTAATCATAAAATAAATTTATTTTTATTGCCACTTTTATGTAATCTTTCTTATGGATTCATCCAATGTAAACCGATCAAACTAAAAAACATAGTCCACTCCCCAACAAAACTTAAGAGTACATTAAATAATTTTCAAATAAAGTGGTTTAAAGTTATGATAAAATATCTCAAATAACAACAAATCAATACTAAAAACTTACATGGAAATTTGAGTTTTGAAGGATAAAGGATGAGAAAATCGCCGACGCTCATGTCTGTAAAAGTATCAACTTCTGATCCAGGTAAACCCTAATTTTTGACAAGTTTTGTATAAAGGATGGGAAGACTGGATGAGGGGTTCTTAATTTTAACGTATGAACTTAAAAAGACAAATTACATACATGGAAAAAAGAAAAAAAAATATGAAGAACTAAAAGAAAATAAATGTACACCAAAATAGAGAAAGATGAAGAGGAAGAGAAGAAAAGACAAATGCGTCTTAACTCTTAACACACTAACAAAACACTTAATCAAAAGAGCATAAGAGGCTGTAAAAACCTAGCGAGAAGGGGTTCTCTCCTTCCAATCTCAAACAATTTTGATCCAGCATAGGAGGCTGTAAAAACCTAGCAAGAAGGGGTTCTCTCCTTCCAATCTCAAACAATTTTGATCCAGCATAGGAGGCTGTAAAAACCTAGCAAGAAGGAGTTCTCTCCTTCCAATCTCAAACAATTTTGATCCAATGAGAGATGTAAAAATGACGACTTAGCCAATTAACGAAAGAAATAGCAAGAGTGGAGGGCTTTATTTATATATATATATATATATATATATATATATATATATATATATATATATATATATATATATATATATATATATATATACAAAGAGAGAGAGAGAGAGGTAGGTTCCGTTGAGATTAAAAATAAAATAGAGATCTTAAGATTGAACCTCAGCCATATATTTCACATCTGCGGCTCTAACCCTCCGGTGTACCGGCGCGACAAGTCTGTTATAATCATAAATGATTATATAGCGTTGTTCGTTCCTTTCTCCTCCGCCACCATCCCCACCACCACAACGGCCACCCTCACCACCACTACCACCACGTTTGACACCAGCTGACCTCGCCACTGTCATCTCCGTCACTTATACCACTGCCACATCTATCGTCACCACCTCTTCTGCCACCAACTATCATAATCATTTATGATTACTCGGTCTGTGAACAGACATATATGTATAATCATTTATGATTAGACATATATGTATAAACATTCATAATCATATATGATTATACCTGTCTGCCATATAATCATTTATGATTAGGCATACCTGCTGCTGCTGGTACGTTGAAGCTTTGAAATTTGTGGTTGAGATTGAATCTTAAGTTCTTAACTTTTTTTTTAATCTCAAGTGAACCGTCATATATATATATATATATATATATATATATATATATATATATATATATATATATATATATATATATATATATATATATATATATATATATAATGTCCATATATTCAAGGCTAATTAACGTTGAAAGTAAGGGTGCATTAAGAAAAATATTGCTAGTAGTTGGAAGCTATAAGTAAGTAAGATTTATTTGTCCAGAAATGTTTGAAAAAATAGTTATTGGCTCTTGAAGGCATGAATTATATAAAAACAAAAAGTTAAAAACGGTCACAAAAGTTAAATTAAATAACTTTTAGATTATTAGTATTTTGTTTAAGATAATACAAAGAAAATCCTATTGTTAATTTTTTTCATATTTTTTACGCTCTTCTTGAAAACCAAAATCTAAAAGCTCAAAAACATTTGTGTGGAACACATGTTATGACTTTATTTTCTTAACCATAAAGGACAAAATACTGATAGTTGTTTATATAATAGGACAAAAAACAGCTTTTACACATAATGGATTTGAGTTTGTATTATTTGATATTAACGGGTAATTAAAAGACAAAAAAACCAAACACTTCATATGTGTGTATTTGAAAAATAAAGCTAGTAGTTGAACTAGGAGTTTTTAAAACGTAAATCTAATTTTTAAAGGCCTAAAATTAAATAAAAACATAAAACTAAAAAGCTCTCAAAAGCTAACAAAAACTAGTTCACGATAGTTTTTGGATTAGAATAATTTTTTTCTATTTAAAAATAAAAAGAATACCCCTTTTGACTTTATTTGTTTGAACATCAAATGACAAATTATCGGCTTATTGAAAATGATTAAAAAAAAAGACACAAAGAATCGTGTAAACATTTGATATTTTGGTCAGTAATCTTTGATTTTAATTCGTAATTAACAAAATAGTCCTTGTATTTTGGGCTTAATAGCGATAACGTAATATCATTCATTGACTGAGAAAAAAAATAAAGATGATCATACTAAAACACAAATTTTGTTATTTTGTTGTTATGTAATTATATTTTTTTTATATATAAAGCTTTACTTGATGATTAAAATTCTCATGTGAAATGACAAATAATGATTATTTTCAGATATATATTATGTATATCATAAATCATAAATATAGAATATAATAGGATTAACGTTTAGTTGAAAACCTCGACAAAAGTTGTGAATCTTGAGAACCTATCACAATTAAATAATTTTCTTTTCTATTTTTTATTTCTGAAATACAAACATATCAGAATTAATAGATTTTTATTCGCCGCATCTACATATATACATCTTTAAGAATAAAAAAAAATATCATGATGCTTTGAGCCTAAAGTAAAGCTATAAAGCTCAAAAGTTATCAAAAAATTTTCACTGAAATGTAAATATTTTAACATATATATTTTTGTCTTAAAAGTATATCAAAATTGATTTATTTGAATATAGAGAATAAAATTCATTAAGCTCGATATATTTTTAGATAATAATCTTCTAAATAATCGGTTCTCAAAGTTTTGTGATTTCTATTTGAAATTATCTATATATTGTGTCAGTTTCTAGCGCTTGAATAAGCAGAGTTTTTTAAAAGTTGCAAAAAAAATAGAATTAGATTTGCCTTTTGAGATATTCAACGCCTAGAATAAGAAGATTTTTTTATAAGTTGCATAAAAAACAGAAGTAGATTTGCCATTTGATATATTCAAGACCTAAATTTGTCTATGCTCTCAATCTTAATTTGCAACTCGACCTTTACAAAAAGAAATTTTGGTAGTAAAATCTTTTAAAATTAAGGAAAATCACTTTTTAGCTCTTGTCTAAACTCGCAATTGACCAAAGTTATTTTAACATTATCTTGATGTCAGTACTACAAATAGTCATATCACCGACAGAGATTATGACAGAAAACTTATTCCAACGAATTACGATCGAAAATGGCAGTCGATGTTAGGGTAATTTTTGTAGCGATCATATGCTTTTCTAGTTAAAAATAAACAATACTCATCACATACAACTTCGGTCAATTCATCATGCTTTCAAAATAAGTAAATGTGAAGACTTACTTGAATATCCAATGCATGTTCAATCATCCCAATGACCGTGACCATACTAGGGCGTTCCTTTAAATTTAAACTAATGCATTGATATGCAACTTCTTTAATCATATGGAAAGAACGACTACTAATCTGATGTCTGATGTGGGGATCAATTAACTCATGTACTTTCGTTTCATCGGATTGTCGAACCAAATTCATTAGAAACGCTGCCTTATCACCTCCAAGGCTCCTTTCATTATAAACCAGCATCCCACTCAACATTTCGAATAGTACCACACCAAATGAGTACACGTCTGATTCTTTTCGGAGGATGTGGCTTTCATGATAAGCGGGATCCAAGTAAAATTGAGTACCCGCAACCTTTGTATTGAGATGGGTAATTGGCTGATTCTTTGGACCCCATTTTGATAGGCCAAAATCACATATTTTTGCCACCAAATTTTTATCTAACAATATGTTAGCACTCTTAAAGTCTCTATGTATCACTCTGGTGTGCTCCCCAAGACTCGAGTGAAGGTAATCAAGTCCTCTTGCTGCCCCTAAACAAATCTTGAGGCGTTGTGTCCATGTTATGTTGCACATCTTATTTTCATATTGGAGATGATGATCGAGACTTCCATTGCTAGCGTACTCATAAACTATGATCATCTCATTGCTTTCATCACAGTAGCCAATAAAAGAGATGATGTTTTCATGCTTGAATTTTAAAATCATGCGAAGCTCATTAAGAAACTCGTGCTCTCCTTGGTGACTATCCGGAGCTCGGCGTTTGATAGCAGCTGTGCGGTTTTGCCAGCGTACAGAGAGTTCTCCTAAGTAGACCTTGCCAAATCCACCACCTCCAATACATCTTTCGGGGCTGAAGTCTTTGGTTGCAAGGTTGATCTCCTCCAGTGGAATCAGATAATTTTCAAGGTTTACCTTTAAAGAAGACATTAATTGTCTTTTGATATTGGTGATGATGTATGGTTTAGGTAGAAGCACTAAATTGGCTTTGAATAAATACAGAAAGACGTTTGCCTAGGTCGCCCACCTCATTTGACCATGGTTTAAAAAAAAATTCAGGTCATCGATAATTGTTAAGAAACTCTCATACAAGTTGCTGGGTAATGTATTTTAAAGGGATTTGACGACTTGACTTCAATTATCAAGATATGTGGTTAATTTATAATATGATTACAAGTTTACAACTTTAGTGTTCACACCTTTCCGTCTCAAGTTCATTTGGGTTACTGTTTTAAAATATCGATCATCTTTCCACCATTCACATGGGCATATTCTTCTGTCTGTCCAATTTAAAACAAAATTAACTACATGAACAAGCAGTTTGTTCATTAATAAATTGTTATTCATTTTTAATTGGATCATTGGATCATAGTCGAGCATGTAGGGTTTTTCACATCGTTTAGCCACCACTTATGGTAAGACCAAAGAAAGTACAAATTACTTATATCATTTCAAAACATGTCATCTACTGCATCTTGCTCATCGATTTCGTCTCTGGCATGATCAACCCTACCCCTCCTCCCCCCCCCCCCCCCCCCCGACATGTTTACACAGTTCAGCATGTTCCGCAATTAACCCGGATAACCCTGGTTGCCCCCTGCTTTCACGCTTGCTTCATAAGCAATAGTTTTTTTTTTTTCCATCTGATATATTGTCACTTACACTCATTTCGTGTCTCACCAACTAATTAATTATGTATATATTCACCATCTTTGTAGATTCTTTAATCTTTTACACACACATCATATGCCAAACTATGTTGTATTACAAATAGCATATTCTTTAAAATTAAAGAAGTCGTCTTATTTTATGGTCTGCATGCTACCAGGGCCGGCCCTAGAGGGTGGGCAGGCGACCGCCCCGGGCCTCGCCAAATCTTGGGGCCCCCAAAATTTACTATCAATATACATGGGTTTAGAGGATATAAAGTATAATATGCAATGAAAACCACAAACTGATTCTAGTTGAGATGGTTCAGTCGAATAGCAATTTTAATCCACGAGAAGATGCCCGTGTTCAAACCTCTCTCATTAGTATTACTTATCTTGTTTTTTTCCTTTTTGGAAAACAGAAAAAGAGGTGAGATTCCAGAGAAAAAGTGGTAAACGAAGAGGCAGGATTTCAAAAGAAAAGTGGTAAACGAGGGGTCGCTTGCAACCTTAAAAATATTCCTTATGTTTCATTCATAGCAATTAGCAAACTGAAAACAACAAATCCTCATCTTTAACGTCCGAAAACAATTATGTTTCATCAATCGACCATGAGAAGTGAACTGAAACACCTCTTTTCTTATATTTTTTATTTTTTCTGAGTTGATTAAGTTTTTAAAGTGTTGATTTTTTAATTTCGAACTATTAATGCTTCTGAATGGATTTAGAAACCATTGTGTTTACGTTATTATGATCATGTCGTTTAGCTCCATTTTGTAGGATATTCATAGGAAAGAAGCAGATGTTATGGTGATGGTACTTGGTATCCATCTTTTCTTGATTTTAGTGAATTTTTTATTTAGTTTTGGGATTACTTATCTGATCTTTATGATTTTTAATGGGTTATTTGATTCAGTTAACTTGGTTGTTATTTTGGAGTTTTTTCCATGGATTCATTTTTGTTAAACCAGAAAACATAGAGATTGGTAATGTGTCCGAGTTAATTAACTATATTAAGAATTTTAGGTTTTAATTTTTATTCAAAAAACAAATTACAAAAATATAATTATAATTGAAGTCAGTAAAATTCTACCTGAGGTACAAGTTTTGGATTCGGAAACAGTATTTATGGATTTTTTTTTTGAAATATACACCGACAAGGGTGTCTACATTTATTTGTTTTTTGCCTCTTTAAGACTAGAACAATTTAGGTACTGTAGGAATTGAAAAAAGATGTAATTTACATTAATGCGGTTTCCTTACCTTTTGCTTATATTTTTTCATTACAGCTATTTAATTTCTTTAATCTTGTTGCACTTTGCAAGAAGATTCGTAATAAGTTATTCGATTAATAGGCATACTTGTCTTTCTGTATTTTTGCTAATTGCAAAAGTTGTTGTCATATACATAGATACATCTGAATCAACTTATCAATAAAAGTGAAGATGCTTGGCAAGTGTTTTGAAAGGGGTTTTACATGTATATGGCTACATATTTTCCGGAGAGTTTTATCGTGTGAAAGAGCATTACTATGATTCTTTGCAAGCTTAGTAAATCCATATGCAAATGCTAGTATTAACTTGAAGGGCCTCTTCTTTGTATTTGCCCCAGGCCTCAGATTTGTTTGGACCAGCCCTGAAACAAGGTTCTGAAGTTGGAACAAGTTAGCAGATAAATTATGTTGGTATAGGATATTTTGCGCTATGACTAGGAATTTTTATCCGAATTTATGATGATTTTGTATGCATATGAGTGGGAATCATGTATCTCTACATTGGTTTAACTGATCAAAGTTGTTGGTTATTGGTTTGTTGAAATTTACGGATGTCGGCGACCAATTAGATTCTGTAGGTCCATTGTTATAAGCCTTTTTCACTTGCAACAAACTCAAAATGTGGTATAGTCACTACTAAAAAGGGTTGCATGATATTTGTCATCTTTTAGACCAAGCGGTATGGGTCACCACAACGCCATTAAGGCTGATGTGGCAGCCCATAACGCCGTTGTAACATCAAAAACACCACCCCCCCCCCCCCCTTCTTGTTATATCTTGTTGTGTTTCTTCTTGTTGTCCCCATGACCGGATGAAACCTGATCTTCTATTGGCTGCACAAATTCTCTCTCTCTATCTCTCTCCTCTTAACTGGTGTTATAACACTATGAATACCACCCCCTCTTCTTGTTGCTTCTTGTTATAATACCACTAAAACGGACTCATACCTAATAGTCTTATAAAATATTAAAACAAAATTGTCCACTGCAAAATTATCTCATTTTTTGAGAGTTCACGAAATACAAAAGTGTATCTCGTATCTTAGTATTCAAAATGGAAAAAAAAGACATTTGCTACCCTTTTTATTTGTATATCGTTTCTTTTTATTTGTCCATTGTTTCTCGAAAAAAGACTGTTATTTTATATTTCTTGTCATATATCGTTTCCATCTCCCTAGGTTTAAAACACATGCGATCTACAGTTGTTTGTCATTCTCATTAGCTTGAGGTTTCAGTGCTTGAATAAACCTTCACCACATTACAAGAACTCATTTCCACCCTCTCATAATAGTGTGAACTTCAAACAGATCTTCATAATTCTTGTATGTGTGGTTTTGTTAGACTTGTAATTGTTTTTTCATATAATATTTGTCCATCATTTATGTATGTTGTACGATGTGCACCTCATCATCTGGTGTGCAACTTAGGAAAAATTAGACCTCTACATTGTTGTTGCCACCATTACGACTCTACACCGTTGTTGCCACTATTATGACTACGCTCCGTCTACAACTGACGAACATAACCAAGTAGCTCTTCAACAATGTCCAATATGGTCCCTTTTGGGCCACCCACATCCTTGTTGGGAATTAATGCTTTCTATACACACTAGTTAGCGCAGCAAAAAATTAAATAAACCTTTTGTGTACACGCAACTTAAAGATATAGGTTTTACTATTATAGCAATCTACTTTAAAACTTGAAAAAAAAAACCTAACCTTTTGATTCTTTTCTTGAGATCTGGTCAGAACCATTTTGCTTAGATGATGAGGACCCAACTAGGAATCCCTCCAATTGAGTCAAACCCAAAACACCAACTAGCAAAAAAGAACTTTATGGGAGAGGAGACTTTTTAGAAAATCCTATAACCCTAGAGAGGGGTTCAAATTTTCGACAATTTGGTGAGGGGGAGCGAGGTTGGATGGTTTTTGGGAGCAAAAAGGATCATCTGGGTTTTACCCCTAACATCCTATTTATAATTTTTAGTTTAATTGAAATTTCAAAGGATAATCATTATCATTATTTAAACCGGTCCATCTCTTTTTATCATAAGGATAAAATCGACCCCTTTTATATTCTTGGAGATTTGCAATATTCCAATTTATTATTAATGAATTAATTAATATTCAACATGTTTAATTAATTAAAACTATTTATTTAATTCCAAAATAATTTCCAATTAATTTATTAACTCACTATAAATTAATAACCTTATTTTCTCCTAATTCATTATTACTTATTTGGGTTCTATACTTCTCTAATAATCAACAAAGTGTATATACCATCCATTCAACTATCGAACTCTAATCTAATCAATATTCAACTCTTAGATAAGCAATCAGCTATTTCATTATATATATATATATATATATATATATATATATATATATATATATATATATATATATATATATATATGAACTTGAGACATAAAGAATGCTCAATCTCGGTATTCAATATTATGTTTCCCGATAAAGTTTTGTGAGGACTACATCCGACTACCAAATTAAACACATCAATTTCAGTAATGACCTAACCAGGCATATTATATGTCTACATCAAATCACGGAGGAGCCCATAGACATCATTTCTCATGTTATGACAGAAGGAAAAAATAAACTTTGACTGCATAGTTTTCATCTACTCACCATGTCATACATGACATGCCCTTTATTACAACTATTTACGAATAGTGTTGGTGTAGACCAATGCACAACATATTTGTAAAGCAAAACCCCACATGCATCTTAGTTTGAAGAATAAGATATATTATTATCTTAGAATTACTTGTTACTAGATCCATGAAGTAATCTCTAAGTGTGAGTTGTTCTAATACTCAAATCCCTATTAAGTACTTATGAGTGTTAGCACAATCTCTATGTTATGTCCATTATCAATGGACAATTCATTAATGCTCATGATAATCTTAAATCAGTACTTAGAATAATCAATATCCATCATTAATATTGAAATTATTAGAACATAATTGACACACTCATTAATTTCATTGCAAGGAAATATAAAATAAGGCAACTAC